GATTGAGGCCGGCTCTTTTTTAAAATGTGGCTCTCGCCTTAATGCCGCGCACATTCGTTGTAAACAGGTGGAAGAGTTTTACGGATTTTCATGGTTAGCGTACCAGGATTGGTATTTTGGAGTGGTTCAGGATTGTCAGGCGCGATTCAGGATCTTCAAGACGCAACATGCAATTTGAGAGGTGTTTTATGATTTAACACGCTTCAGGATGTTCACACTGTTATCTCCCAGCCGGGCACTTCGGAAGTCTTCCCTCAGTGGAAATTCGCCCTTGTATGGGCCTATGGAGAGGGAGCTTGGAGGGAGGGTGTATACCATCATCGTTGGTGGGTCTTGGGTTTACACTGGTCCTCCTCCGCCTCATCATCCTTCTGCTCGCCTTCCTTCCCCTCGCCCTCTCTTCCTTCCCTCTCTGCACACCAGCAAGCCTCGCCCCATCACGCCCACCCCACACGGCCGATTCGGGGTTACAGGGGGGAGCTCCACGACAGTAGCTGCAAGGAGAGCCCCATACCCAAATCAAGGCCCCAGAAAGCTCTTTTCCCTGTTCTCCTCTCCTCTCTTCTCTTCTCCTCTCTTCTCTTACTTCTTCCCCTTCTCATCTGCCTCCCAGAGCCTCCCTTCGCTCTGGTGCCGCTCTCCCTCTCGTTCTTCTGCTCGTGTCGGCGACATCTGCGCGCTCGGGGCCGGCCCTTCGGCTTGCCTGCCGTGGCTTTTCCACGTGTGCCTGCTTGTCTGCTACAACGCTGGGATCAGCGCGTGCGAGAAAGGCGAGCAGTGGCAGCGGGCCCTGGCGCTGCTTAGCGAGATGTGGCAGGCGAATTTGGATCCCGACGTCGTCAGCTACAGCGCTGGAATGAGCGCATGCGCGAAAGGCGAGCAGTGGCAGCGGGCCCTGGCGCTGCTCAGCGAGATGCGGCAAGCAAAGCTGTCCCCCAATGTAATCTCTCCTGCATGACCGGGAGAAGAAGCGCGCGCCAGAAGGGCGCGGACTTGAGGCGGGCCTGTCCCTCTACGGGAGAACTGTTCAAACATAGTAAAAAAGTAGTTTGGGGATGATGCTTCTATGTTTTATGTTTTTTTTCAATTTTTTAATTTTGTTTTTTTTTGCCATTTGTACATATGTGTTGCCAATTTTAAGCGTTTTCTTCCAAATTCTGCCTGTAGGGGGACATGCCCGACCTACGCGCGGACCCGAGAGTACCAAATTCGTCCTCGCCGGCCCCGGCGCGCTCCCGGGCGGCCCCGGGACGCCCCAAGACGCTTCCGGAGAGCTCGCAGATGGCCCCAGGTCGGCCCAATACAGCCATCGGCTTGACCTAAGGAAGGAGAAATGAGGAACGAAGCCCCTTTGTTTTCCAAGGAACAATGCATAAGGAACGATAAATAATGATTATCCCGGCAAAGCAACCTAACAGCGATGTGTAGGAGCATATCTGGAAGCATTCCCCTTAAGATTCAGATGAGAATCCAGTTGTAGAATTGTGCTGTTCTCGCAGTCGCATTCGCGATGACAGTCGCAGTGGCAACGGCAGTCACAGACACAGCCTCAGCCTCAGCCTGCCTCAGCCTCAGCCTCAGCCTGCCTCAGCCTCAGCCTGCCTCAGCCTCAGCCTCAGCCTGCTTCAGCCTCAGCCTCAGTCTGCTTCAGCCTCCGCCTCAGCCTTCAGCCTCAGCCTCAGCCTCAGCCTCAGCCTGCCTCAGCATCAGCCTCAGCCTCAGCCTCAGCAGCAAAAATGTGGCCCGGGAATGTAGTTCTGGGAACTCGAAGAACACGAAGTGGCCTACAGTTGGCTCCGGGCATTCAAATTCATGCCCAGGAATGGAGTTCTGGGAACTCGAAGACCACGAAGTGGCCTACAGTTGGCTCCGGGCATCCAAAATCTGGCCCGGGAATGGCCTACAGTTGGCTCCGGGCATTCAAATTCATGCCCAGGAATGGAGTTCTGGGAACTCGAAGAGCACGAAGTGGCCTACACTTGGCTCCGGGCATCCAAAATCTGGCCCGGGAATTGAGTTTTGGGAACTCGAAGACCACGAAGTGGCCTACACTTGGCTCCGGGCATCCAAAATCTGGCCCGGGAATGGAGTTCTGGGAACTCGAAGAGCACGAAGTGGCCTACAGTTGGCTCCGGGCATTCAAAATGTGGCCCGGGAATGGAGTTCTGGGGACTCGAAGACCACGAAGTGGCCTACAGTTGGCTCCGGGCATTCAAAATGTGGCCCGGGAATGGAGTTCTGGGAAGTCGAAGAGCACGAAGTGGCCTACAGTTGGCTCCGGGCATTCAGAATGTGGCCCGGGAATGGAGTTCTGGGAGGTCGAAGAGCACGAAGTGTGTGACTGTATGAAAAAAACGATCCCGGCCGGCAAACCCCAACACCTCCCCAACGGCTGCCCAGACCCCACTGTGGAGTAATGTGCTGCTTTCTTTTTAGCCCATTAGAAACCTATCAGTCTTCGCTGTTAGGTAAAAAAACGCATACGGAACGAAGGATAACGCATGCAAGGCCAGGGAACGACCGAGCTCCTGTTGAAAAGCAAGTGTTCCTTACTCAAGCCGCTCACTGTATACCCCAGGACGCCTACAGACGGTCCAGGAGGTCGCCAACATGGCCTTTAGACGGCCCAGCAGGGCCTCCAGACGGCCCAAGAGGGTTCCAAGAGGCCCCCCAAGAGGCCCCCCAAGAGGGCCCCCAAGAGGCCAACATCGCTGGTGTCCCTTAGGTTTTCCCATCGATTTGGGCGGTCTGGCTTTGTCAGGTTTCCGACGCTCCCACGAGGGCTCCCAGACGGCCCAATGAAGGCCCGAAGACGGCCTGCGCGGCGCCGAGGCGTTTCAACAGGCCCCGAAGACGGCTCCCAGAGGGGGAGCTCGAGCAGACGCTTCGCGCCCTCCGCCCCAAGAGTGCCCCCGAGACCGCCAGCAGGCCCCCGAGAGGCCCCCAGAAGCCTCGGGAGACCCACAAGAAGCCCAAGTCGGGCCCCAAGAGGCGCCCTCCAAGAGGGCCCCCGGGGAGGGAGGGCTCCGAGACGCCCCCCCCGAAAACCGCCTCGGAGAGGCTTCCGCGGGAAGCTCCCCTGGAGAGCTCTGCGACCGCCCCCGCCCCCCCCCACGAGAGCCCCGCGAGCGCCCGAAGAGGCGACCGAAGATGCTCGGCCACGCGTGCCGAGGTCAGAGAGACGCGTGTCCGTGCGGGCCGCTCCTCTCGTACCCCCCCCCCCCTGGCCTCCCTCCGTGCTCCGCGCTCCTCGCTCTCTCCGGCTCTCTCCGGCTCTCTCCTCGCCCCTCGCCGCCCACTCCTCGCTCCTCGTTCCCGCTCCTCCCCGCTCCTTCCGCCTCCCTCCTGGCCCCTCGCTTCTCTCTCTCTCTCTCACGGCTGCGGGCGTCGGCTCCCCCCACCCCCCCTCCCCTTCGGCTCTCCCGCATCCCTCCTCGCCTCTCTCTCTCTCTCTTTCCTCTGCCGTCGCTCCTCCCTTCTCGATCCGTGTGCCTCGCGGATTGCTCCTCGCTGTCTCCCCCCTCGACCCTGACCCTGGCTGCTCGCTCCTCGCTCCTCGATCCACTCACGAGCTGCAGGCTGCGCCATCTAGCAAGGGTGCCAAGCAGCAGCCCTCTGCAAACTCAAGCAGCAACAGCGAACATCAGCAGTCCGCCGCAGGCAGCGGCAGCACGGCAAAAAGAAGCAGCAGCAACAACACGTCGCTATCAGCAGCACCCTGCAGCTGCAGGCAGCAACAGCAGAGGCGAAGTTCGGGCCCAGCGTTAACACGAAAGCCTTTTAGCAACATCTTTGCCCTGGTCCAGCGGGTTAACCCTAGTCTCTACTACATTGCAGGGCCCAGTGCGTGCCAGAAGGGCGCAGGCCCCAATGCACCGAAACCGCCCCGGGCTGGCCCCGGGCCGCCCCGGGCCGCCCCGGGAGGCCCCAAGACGCGCCAAGGAAGCCCCAAGAGGCCCCCAAGACGGCTCCGGAGGGCCCCGGCACGCCCCAAGATGGGCCCAAGACGCTCAAGATTGGCCCAAGACGGCCCAAGAAGCCTCCCAGACGCCCCAAGAGGCTTCCCCAGAGGCCTCCCAAGAGGGCCCCGAGCGGTAGAAACCGTCGATTTCCATTGTGTTTTTCGATGGTTTCGGCCTCCTCGCCTTTTCGGCACCCCGACGCTCCAAGACGGGTCAAGAGCTCCCCCAGACCGCTCCAAGACGGCCGAAGAGGACCCCAAGAGAGCCCCAAGACGGGCCAAGAGGGCCCCCAAGACGGCCCCACGGCGGCCCAGGACGGCCCCAGGACGGCCCAGGAGGCGCCCAAGACGGCCCAAGAGGCACCCAAGACGGCCCCAGGAGCGGCCCAAGACGGCCCAAGCCAGCCCAAGAGGCGCCGAAGCCGGCTTCAGACGGCCCCAAGACGGCCCAAGAGGCACCCAAGACGGCCCGAGAGGGCCCTAAGAGCCCCCCCGGGAGGCCCAAAAGAAGGCCGAAGAGGCTCCGAAACGGCCCCCACGAAGCCTTCAGTGGCTTCAGAATTCCCTCCAGGAGCGGGGGAGCGGACGAGAGGCGACAGGCATATCGCAGGCAAAAACGCCCCAAGAGATCCCCAAACGGCCCCCACGAAGCCCGAAGTGGCCTCAGAATTGCTTCCAGGAGGGGGGGAGCGGACGAGAGGCGACCGGCATATCGAAGGCACAAAAGAACAATGTTGGACGCTCCGAGGGCCTTCGATGTTTCTCTGTTGGGGAGAGTCGTCGTAGGATCGACGATTGCCGACCGAGGGCATGGAGAATCGAGCGAAAGAGGAGGAGAAGGTGGAAGAGGAGGAGGAGAAGGAGGAGGAGGAGGAGGAGGGGCCTGGCGCTGCACTGCGAGATGTGGAAAGCCAAGCTGGAGCCCGACGCCATCATGATTGCCTTTCGGCCCTGCAGCCGCACCCCCCCGCGCTTGCCCAGAGATCCCTCGCCACGTCGAGCTGATGTCGTGGACGGAGTCCACAGGTCTGCCCTAGTCAGCTACAACGCTGGGATCAGCGCGTGCGAGAAAGGCGGGCAGTGGCAGCGGGCTCTGACACTGCTCAGCGAGATGTGGCAGGCGAAGTCGGAGCCCGATGTTATCAGCTACAGTGCTGGGATGAGCGCTTGCGAGAAAGGCGAGCAGTGGCAGCGGGCCCTGGCGCTGCTCAGCGAGATGCGTCAGGCGAAGTTGGAGCTTGTGGTGATCTGGACCAAGCGCGTGTGAGCTCTCAAAACGCTGTTGGCTCCCCCGTCCCCGAATCTGGCCCAGGGTGCTACGAGGACGCCCGTAAAGAATCGCAGTGCCCTTCTAATTGCAGCCGAAGTGCCCTGCACCAAAGCCCTGGTAGACGACAGGAGGATCCTACCATGATCCCGAGATCCCCCAAAAGGCTCCCAATGAGCGCGCCACTACGGGGCTTCCGAAGCTATTCCCCTCCGTGCTTCTCGAAGCCGTGGTAAGCTCGGGCTTCCCTTTGCAGAGGGGTGGGTGGGGTGCTTCGGAAGCTACTGCCCCCCCCCTCTCCCTCGCTGTAAAGGGGGGGGGGTGGAAGCTACATCCCCCCTCCTCCATTCGTCTTCCAGGGTGAGCACGGGCTTCCCTTTCCTCGTCCTCGTAGTCGTTGCAGTCGACGTCGTCTTCGACGTCGTCGTCGTCGTCGCGGTCGTCCTCGTAGTCGTTGCCGTCTTCGTCGTCGTCGTGGCGTCGGCGTCATCGTCGTCCTGTCGTCGTCGCCGTCGCCGTCGCCGTCGTCGTCTTCGTCATCGTCGTCGTCAGGGTCGTCCTCGTAGTCGTTGCCGTCGTCGTCGTCGTCGTCGCCGTCGCGGTCGTCCTCGTAGTCGTTGGCGTCATCGGCACCGTCGTCGTCGTTGTCGTCGTTGTCGTCGACACCCACCAGAGATCTGAAGGAAAAACAAGATCTTTGTTGAGCCCAGATTTTTTTTAGAAAATCTGCCGAAGTGGACTGGACCCCCGAGGTTTCCTTAACTCCAAGCGGGGGTGTACTTGTTTCTTGTTTCCGCCCACGGGCGGTGCTACGCGACGAGTGCAGTCGATGATCGAGGACCTCCGAATCATTTCATCAAGATTCCGACGGATCTCTCGGAATTCCTTCGAGGTTCTTGAGGATTTGGATTTTTGTCAAGCCCAGAAATGGAGGTGGGGGGAGTGGGGGGCAGGGGGGTGGGCTTGGGGCTGGGGAGATCCAACCGGAGGGGGGGCAGCTCGTCGTCGTCGTCGCCGTCGTCGTCGTCGTCGTAGTCGTCGTCGTCGTCATCGTTGTTGGTTTTTTACGGTTGCAAAATCATTGTTGATTCCCCCCGCCGGTGCACATCGTGTTTTTCAATCAAAGTGCCCCTCTCGTGGCTTGCGCCTCGTGTTTTATCAGGGGAAGTCGTCGCGCTCAAACTGGGTTGTTCGGCTCCGAACAACAACAGCAGCAACAACACCACCACCAACAGCAGCAGCAACAACAACAACAGCAACAACAACAGCAACAGCAACAACAACAACAATAACAACACCAGCAACATCAACAACGACACACATGTAGAATACGACGAAGACTAAATCCACTCATTTTATGGCTGCTCGCTCCTGTTTGCTCGCGTGCCATTCAACACGTTATCCCAAACCCTCGGTTACCGCCTTCTTCGTCTTCGATCCTACCTTCTTGTGGGTATATCTTCCTTACTTGCCCCGTGCATCTAGCGGAGTCCCTAAAACAGGGCAAGAGAGGACGGACGGAAGCGGGAGGGAGAAGGATGGAGCACGAGAGAAGTTTGCAGGAGGGGGGCGAGGAGCAGAAAACACGTGGTAGAACCAGACGGGCCGATCGGGCGGGCAGATCCTAGCGGGCGGGTCGGGAAGGCGGGCCCAGACGGCCAGGTCGAGCAGGCGGGTTTCTGAAGCGTGAGTCCTGCTCGAGCGATAGGGCGATTCCCAAGGAAATCGTGAGAAAGGCCAGAGCGAGAGCGTGATTCCTGAGTGTCGAGGGCGCTGCGTCTAAACAATTGCAAAGAACTCCATCGCGAGAGCGCGATGTCTGCATACATTGTGGGGAAGTACCGCGCGAGAGCGCGACTTTGGAATTCATGGTGAGGAAGTATCAGGCGGGAGCCGTTGTGGTTGTAGCCGGGGGCCAACAACGCAGTTTGATCAGGAAGATTTTCCCTGATCAGATCAGCCACCCGGTGCGAGCCCTGGGGGGAGCACTTCAGTTGAACAAACACAGAGTGCACCGGTTGGGTGTGATCAACAACAAGTATTCTTAAGTGTTGACGGTTCAACAGCAACAATCAGTTTCAAACTGCTCGCTCAGATCTGCTCACGTGCCACTCAACACGTATATCCCAAACCTTCGGTACCCGCCCTGTTCGTCTTCGATCGCGCCCCCTTGTGGGTATATCTTCCTTGCGTGCCACGTGCTTTTAGTGCAGCACCTAAAACAGGGGCAGAGAGGACGGACGGAAGGAGGAGAGAGATGGACGGAGCACGAGAGAAGTTAACAGGATGGGGCGAGGAGCAGAAAACACGTGGTAGAACCTGACGGGCCGATCGGGCGGGCAGATCCTAGCGGGCGGGTCGGGAAGGCGGGCCCAGACGGCCAGGTCGAGCAGGCGGGTTTCTGAAGCGTGAGTCCCGCATGAATCGCGAGGAAGGCTCGAGCGATAGCGCGATTCCCAAGGAAATCGTGAGAAAGGCTGGGGCGAGAGCGTGATTCCTACGTGTCGAGGGCGCGGCGTCTGAAGAAGTTGCAGAGCACTCCATCGCCAGAGCGCGATGTCAGCATACATTGTGAGGAAGTGCCGCGCGAGAGGGCGACTTTGGAATACATGGTGAGGAAGTACCAGGCGGGAATCGTTGTGGTTGTAGCCGGGAGGCCAACAACACAGTTTGAGCAGGAAGACTTTCCCTGATCAGCCACCGGGTGTGAGCCCTGAGGGGAGCACTTCAGTTGAACAAACGCAGAGTGCACCGGTTGGGTGTGATCAACAACAATTATTCTTAAATGTTGACGGTTCAACAGCAACAACCAGTTTGAAACTGCTCGCTCAGATCTGCTCACGTGCCATTCAGCACGTATATCCCAAACCTTCGGTACCCGCCCTGTTCGTCTTCGATCGCATCCCCTTGGGGGCATATCTTCCTTGAGTGCCACGTGCTTTTAGCCCAGCACCTAAAACAGGGGCAGAGAGGACGGACGGAAGGAGGAGAGAGATGGACGGAGCACGAGAGAAATTGTTTTCGCTTCGCGAATCCCCGCCAGCCCATTCAGAAGCCATGCCCACGAGAGCTGACGGGAAATGGAAAGCAGAGACGCATATAGTGAAATGGGGCGGTCAAAGAGGAGGGGGAGGAACGTGTCGAGCCATGTTGGAGGCTATTTGGAGCATCGGAGGCCTTCGTTGAGCTATGGAGCCTTTTTGGGGCGTCTTGGGGTCCTCTTGGGGCTCTTTGGGGGCATCTTGGAGCTCTTTGGGGGGTCTTGGGGTTCTCTTGGAGCTTTTTGGGGGGCGTCCCGGGACTCTCATGGGGCCATCTTGGAGCTTTGTTGGGGCCCTCTTTGGGGCCTCTTGGGAGCCCTGGAGGGCGTTTTGGGTCTGTCGTGGAGGGTGTCGGTGAAAAGAGGGGGGGTCCTAACGTTTGGCCCCCCCTTCCGGGGCCATCAACATAGCCTTTTGGGGCGCTCTTGGGGCCCTCTGGGGGCGATCGTGGGCGCTCTTGGGGCCGTCTTGGGGGCCTCTTGGGCCCTTTTCGGAGCTCTCTCGGGACATCTTGGAGCCATCTGGAGGCCTCAAAAGCGCATCGGAAGCGAAAAGGCGAGAAGGCCGCAGTCATTGGTTTTCCCTAGGTTTTTGAAGGATGTTGGATTCTTGCAGGGGTTCCTGAGGGGTCTCCGAGAGCACTTGGATCTGTCTTGTAGCCTTCTTGGGGCCTCTTGGAGGCATGTTGTTAGCTATCTTGAGCGATCTTGCGCTATCTTGAGGCATCTTAGAGGCCATCTTGGAGCATCGGAGGCCCTCTTGGAGGCTCTCTTGGAGCCATCTTGGAGCATCGGAGGCCCTCTTGGGCCATCTTGGACCCCTGACCGCTCGCGAACCCCCCCGTCCAGGTTCAGGGGAGGGGGTAGGGGGACGGGTCAAGCTGCCCATCCGCCCGCAAGCCGTCTAGCTCACTCCCACCCGCCCTCCCACCGAGCCTGAGCATGTTCAGCGGTCGTCTTTGGATGGGCAGCTAATGGGAACCAAAGCCGACCCCAGGTGCGCGACGCTTGGGCGAGGTGCGCCACGCGTGCCAGGGGCGCCACGCGCGCCAGGCACCCCTGGGGCCCGAGCGTGCCAGGCACGCCTGGTGCGCCAGATGCGCCACGTGCTCCGAGTGCGCCAGGTGTGCCGCACACTCCAGCCGCGCCAGGTGCGCCACGTTCGGGGCACGTGCAGAGTGCGTCAGGTGCGCCTGCGCACGTACACATCGGGAAACATATCGGCCCCCGCCATCCTTGTCGACAGCCAGTGCCCATCATCGTTGTGTCTGGTGGGCCTGCGCACAGCAGGCCACGCGACACCACCCCCGCCGTCCCTGTCAAAAACCACTTGACGGTGATCGCGGGATGGTCGCGCATGATCCAGATTTAGCCGCGAGGTGCATGTTGTATTGATTTTTTTTGTCAGGGATGGTATCCCTGCGCACAGCAGGGAATATGCTGACACCCCCGCCGTCCTTATCAAAAACAGTACAAAGAGCTCGTGGGCCTCACGAACATGACTCAATACTTTGCCCCAAAGGTATTTTGTATTGTTTGATTGTTTGTTGACAGGGATGGTGTGGGGAGGCCGCATCGGGTTGGCCGCGCATGCTCCAAATGTGGAGGCATAATGCGGTTTGTATTGTTTTTGACAGGGATGGTGGGGGGCGGGCCCGCATGGAGTCGGCATGGTTCTGTGTTAGCCATCGGCCGGGTGTGGTAGGGGTGTATATTAACAAGGAACAGTGATAAGCCCCTCCCCGAAGGGAAAAGGGGTTCTTCTGGAAGGGGAAAGAAAAATCTCGTTAGACCGCCTGTCGCCTTCAGGGCTGGCGGTATTAGCAGGAGGGGGCTAGGAGCAGAAAACACGTGGTAGAACCAGACGGGCAGATCGGGCAGGCAGATCCATAGCACGCGGGTCGTGAAGGCGGGCCCAGACGGCCACGTCGAGCAGGCGGGTTTCTGAAGCGTGACTCCTGCATGAATCGCGAGGAAGGCTCGAGCGACAGCGCGATTCCCGAGGAAATCGTGAGGAAGGCCAGAGCGAGAGCGTGATTCCTAGGTCTCGAGGGCGCGGCGTCTGAAGAAATTGTGAGGACGTCCCACGCGAGAGCGCGACTTCTGCGCAGGAGGAAATCCCAAAAGTGAGCGCATTTTCGGGATAGACTGTGAGGAAGTGTCAGGCGGGAGCTGTTGTGGTTGTAGTTCGGGGGCCCAGGGCCCAGTTTGACCCTCAAGACTTCCCCTGGTAGAAAATGGGGTGCGAGCCCCGGGAGGGGCACGTCAATGGGACAAATACAAGGTGCGCCGGAGGGGGGATCCACAATGGCTATTAGTCAGAAGTGAGAGCTCAACAACGGCTCCCGCCAGATTTTTTTAAACAGTTGACTGCAAAATCGCGCTCTCGCGCGGGATTTCCTCAGAACTTGCGCAGAAACCGCGCTCTCGCGAGGGAGTTCCTGACAATTAGTTCTCGCACGCCGCGCCGTCGACACTCAGGCATCACGCTCGCGCCTGGGCCTTTCTCGCGATTCGCTTGGGATTCGCCCGCTCGAGCCTTCCTCGCGATTCATGTAGGGCGCACGCTTCAGCAACCCGCCTCGACCTGTCCGCCTGGGCCCACCTGTCCGACCCGCCCGCTCGGGGGTCTGCCCGCCCGGTCGGCCCGTCCGGTTCTGCCACGCGTTTTCTGCTCCCAGCCCCTCCTAACTTCTCTCGTGCTTCACCCATCAAGTTCCCGCTTTCCAGACCCACTGCCCGTTCGAATACCTGCCTTCAGGCCAGACTGCCTATTCAAATCTTCTTCTTCCAGGACCACCGCCCGTGCAACCCCCCTGCTTCCAGGCCCGAGTGCCCTCTCAAGTTCTTGGCATCCAGTCTCACTGCCCGTCCAAATCCGTTGCCTCCACGCCCGACTGCCTTTTCAAATCCCCAGCTTCCAGGCCCTGCTGCCCGTTCAAGGTTCCCGCTCCAGGGCCCGATCGCCCCCTGAAGCTCTTGTCTTCCCCCGCGATGCCCGTTCAAACTCGCTGCCTCCCGGCCGGAATGCCCGAAGTGAATTCCTCGCTTCCGGCCTCGCCGCCCGTCAAAAAACCTCCTGCTCTCATCGGGGGCGGAAAAGAGGGGGGTGATGACTAGGGGGGGGTGTATATCATGGCGTGGGCCATGATATTTCCCCAGATTTCATGGCGCCTCTTCTTATTTCATTACGTCCCTGGCCCCCCCGCTGGGCCGCGCACATGCCGCCGGTCATGATTTGCGCCCCCCCCCCTTGAACACCCCCCTCTTTTCCGCTCCCGATCTCAGGCCCGACTGCCTCTGCAAACTCCTGGCTTCCAGGCCCCGCTGTCCGTTAGAGACTGTTCATCGCAGGCCCGACGGCCGCCCTTCGTCCCGGGGGCCTCCGCCTCGCGGCGGAGGTGGTCGCGAGCGCGCTTCGCGAGTCCCTTGTCCAGTCCTTCACCACCCACCAAACCACCCCAACCCAACCCTAAGGCCCAAATTTCTCCTCGATTTCCAGTGGGGGGGGTCGGGGAACATTGAAAAAACACATGGAACCCGTACCCCCCCAACCCGAAATTCGATTCAAATTCGGGTCTTCGGTTTGGGTTGGGGTGGTCTGGTAGGTAGTCAGTCCTGGGGCTGGCGGCGCGAGCGCGCGAAGTTCTTCGCACTTCGCGGAGCGCGGAGCGCGAAGTTAGTTGCCTCTGCAAGGCATGACCCAGACACTTCGGAGAGACACCGGCGTGGCCCGAGGAGGCGCCAGGAAAACCTCAAGATAGCCCCTGGAGGGCCCCAGGCGGCCCCCAGAAGGCGTCCAGTGAACACCAGGGTCCCCCCCGAGCTATCGCAGGTCGGCTCGCGTGGTGTTCCCCGTCTGCTTGGCGACCTTTAGAGTCGCACAGCCGTCGAGGCCAAATCGGGTGAACCTCTTCAGGAGGGAAAGAAACACACAGACACAATTAATCGTCGATTCCCCAGAAAATATGGGAAAATATGGGAAGTGGGGGGGAAGACAAAAACCCAGAAAATATAGGAAAATATGGGGAATCGTTTTATTTGTGTGTATTTATTTGTGTGTTTGTGGGCCCCTTCACCTCTGTGGACGCGGTGCCTCGTGCTCCCCCTCCCATAAAAAAACAGCAAGGGTTCCCCCCGAGGCTCTCCAGGGGCCAAGACGTACCCTCAGCCTTGCCAGCAGCAGGCGGGGGAGGGCGTGGCAGACGGCCTCGCCCTGCCGGCCGTTGATTTTCCACGGGGCCGCACTGATAACTGCAGGCAACCTGCACAGTAAGGATGGGCAACCTTCCCACGGGTACCCTTGCATCCTTGCCTCTTCGGTCTATCCTTGGCCGGTTCTGTTGGCCGCGCCCCGCTCGAAAAGCTTCGAAATGGGCTTCCAAGGCCTTTTTATCCTTGTCGCGCATCCTTGCTATACGGATTGACTGTAAGCTACAACGCCGGGATGAGCGCGTGCGAGAAAGGCGAGCAATGGCAGCGGGCTCTGACGCTGCTCAGCGAGATGTCGGAGGCGCAGTTGGAGCCCAACGCCATTAGCTACAGCGCTGGCATAAGCTCGTGTGGGAAGTGCAAGCAGTGGCAGCGGGCTCTGGCGCTGCTCGGCCACATGTCGAAGGCGAAGCTGGAGTCCAACGTCATCTGCTACAGCGCTGGAGTGAGCGCATGCGCGAAAGGCGAGCAGTGGCAGCGGGCTCTGGCATTGCTCAGCGAAATTTGGGAGCTGAGCATCGAGCCCAACGTCATTAGCTGCAGTGCTGGAATCAGCGCGTGCGAGAAAGGCGAGCAATGGCAGCGGGCTCTGGCGCTGCTCGACCATATGTTGGAGGAGAAGTTGGAGCCAAACGCATTCAGCTACAATGCTGGGGTCAGCGCGTGCGGGAGAGGCGAGCAGTGGCAGCGGGCTCTGGCATTGCTCAGAGAGATGTGGCAGGCGAGGATGGAGTGTCAGAGCACCAGCTACAATGCTGGGGTCAGCGCGTGCGGGAGAGGCGAGCAATGGCAGCGGGCTCTGGCATTGCTCAGAGAGATGTGGCAGGCGAAGGTGGAGTGTCAGAGCATCAGCTACAATGCTGGAGTTAGCGCATGCGCGAAGGGCGAGCAGTGGCAGCGGGCTCTTGCGCTGCTCTACGAGATTCTGGAGGCGAAGCTGGAGCCCAGCAACTTGTATACTACAACGCCAGGAGAGTCCCATGCCAGAAGGAAAACTGATCAAACGATGCAGAACTGGTCGGCCCAGGATATGGGAACGACAAATCACACAAACCTAAAAACTCTGAAGTCCGCGCGAATTTCTCGGATCCGCGCGGATCTCCGAGTTTTTATGTTTATGTCATTGCTCGCTCCCCGACAGCAGCTTGTATACAGCAGCGCCAGGAGAGCCGCACGCCAGGAGGAAAACGGATCGAGAGATGCAGAACTGGCCGGCCAAGGAGGGCCCCAAGACGGTCCAAGATTCGGAGGCTGTCAGAAGGGTTCGTTGGACAAGGTTGGTTTCGCTGGACTCGAGGTCCCCCCAGCCCGACCTTAGGCCATCCAGCACGACCTGAGGCGCCCCAGCAGCAGTCGAAATCACCCTTCTTGAACCAGACCTTCTCGCCGCCCTCGAAAGATGGCCCGAGGCACTTCCAGAGACGGCCCGGGATGTCAACGTCGCCTGCTGGCTCAACGCATTGGCCCGCGTTTTGGCGAACGTATCGCCTCAGGCCTGCATTTTCAGTCTACGTGCTGAGCTCCGTGTCAACACTCGGGGGTGGACAGAACTCCCACCCTGACACGTCGATTAGTGAACTGTCCGTTTTCGGTTCTCGAGAGGGCGCCGCGGCCGTCATGTTCCAGGCTTGCGCCCGCTAGGTTTGGGCCCGAGGGCGCTTTCACTAAACCACGTGTTCCTAAAGGGGGTTCTGTCCATCCCCGAAACACGCTGCGTGTTGCGTGTTGCGCATCGGGGCAGCCAGGCCCGAGATGCTCCCAGAGGCGGCCCAGGATGTCACCAGCATCGACGTGGAGCCCGTGTTTACCCACGCCGACGTCGCCGATACATCGCCGACGTCACCGATGCATCGCGGATGCATCGCCGCTACATCGGCGATGCATTGACGATGCGGCGCGATCCTTCGACCCCATCTACTCGGACTCCGTGTCCTGTGTCTTGCGACCCACGCCCCCTGCATTTCTGTGGCAACGTGGCCCTCGGAAGGGTCTTGTGTCCTCTCGCGTGTCCTCTCCAAGAGGAGGAGGAGGAGGAGGGAGGAGGGAGGAGGAGGAGGAGGAGGAGGAGGAGGGAGGAGGGAGGAGGAGGAGGAGGAGGAGGAGGGAGGAGGAGGAGGAGGAGGAGGAGGAGGAGGGAGGAGGAGGAGGAGGAGGAGGAGAGGAGGAGGAGGAGGAGGAGGAGGAGGAGGAGGACTGTACGTGCTGAGCTCCGTGTCAGCGCGCTGCGTGCTGCGTGTTGCGCATCGGGGCGGCCGGGCCCGGGATGCTTCCCCGGAGGCGGCCCAGGGCGTCACCGGGCAGGGCTCTGCCTCGGGCGGCCCCCGCCGAGGGCCGCAGGCCGGCACGGAGGAGGGCTCCCCGAGGGGCCACGCAGAGGGGCCCCCCGAGAGGCCCGAGGCACGGAGATTCCATAGGTCGTCGAATGATTTCAGCGTTATCGTTTTTTTTTTTTTTTTTTTTTTTTTTTTTTTTTTGGGGGGGGGGGGGTTGTTGTTGTTGTTGTTGTTGTTGTTGTTGCTGTTGCTGTTGCTGTTGCTGTTGCTGTTGCTGCTGCTGTTGCTGCTGTTTTGTTGTTGTTGTTGTTGTTGTTGTTGTTGTTGTTGTTGTTGTTGTTGTTGTTGTTGTTGTTGCTGTTGTTGCTGCTGTTGTTGTTGTTGTTGTTGTTGTTGTTGTTGTTGTTGTCGTTGGTGTTGCTGTTGCTGCTGCTGTCGTTGCTGTTGTTGGATGGTGTCTGATGGTGTTGTTGTTGCTGTTGTTGTTGCAGTTGTTGCTGCTGTTGTTGTCGTTTGTGTTGCTGTTGATGTTGCCGTTGCTGCTGCTGTTGTTGTTGATGTTGATGTTGATGTTGATGTTGATGTTGGTGTTGTCGTTGTTGTTGTTATTGTTGTTGCTGTTGCTGCTGTTGTTGTTGGTGTTGTTGTTGTTGTTGCTGTTGTGGTTGTGGTGGTGGTGGTGGTTGTTGTTGTTGTTGTTGTGGTTGTTGTTGTTGTTGTTGTTGTTTTTGTTTTTTTATTGTTTGTTTCTCTCTCTCTCTCTATATATATATATATATATGAAAAATTAACATGCTCGACGTTGCTCGACGGCCCCAGAGGTTCCTAAGATGGTCCCGAGACGGCCTAACTCGCCCCCAAGAGCCAGCCCAAGATGCTACAGAAACGGCCCAAGGGGCCCCCAAGACGGCCCAAAAACGGCGCCAAGAGGGCCCCAAGTGGGGGAACTCGACTTGACATTCCGCGCCCTCCGCCTCCAAGAGGCTTCCGAGGGAAGACCCATCAGAGAGCTTTGGGACCGCGCCGGCCACCCAGGGAAATAAGGCGCCCGTGCGCCTCTTATTTTCTTCCCTTCTTGGCCAAGAAGCCTCCAAAGAGAATCCCAAGGCGGCTCGAGAGATGCCCAAGAGGCCCAAGGGAGCCCCAAGGCGGCCCAAGAGGCGCCCCAGACGGCCCAAGATAGCCCAGAGATGGCCCACCAGAGCCCCAGGTGCATCCCAAGACGGCCCCAAGAGCGCCCCCAGATAGCCCGAAGCGACCCCCCAACGGATGCTACAGCGCACCCCCTGTTGTAGCATCCGTCGGGTGCTTTCCGAGGGCCCCCCTTGGGGCCGTCTTCGGGTCCTCTCGAGCCCCTCTTGAGGCAAGTTTCGAGGTCCCTCAGGTGATCCCAGAAGCTCTTGCAAGGCTACAAGACGACCCAAGAGGGCTGCAAGACAGCTCAGGGAAAGCCCCAGACGACCCAAGAGGCGTCCAAGACGACCCAAGATGGCCCGAAGATGGCCCGCCGCATTCCCCTGCCGGGGGCCCCTGCGGATTTGCTCCACGGGTACACGTTTGTCTACCTTAATACCGAGTGTCCTCTGGTGGCTCCGAGCCGCTGAAGAGGGCGCCCCGACGGCCCCACGACGGCTCCGAGACGCTCCAGAGGCGCCCCGACGGCCCAAAGACAGCCCCGAACCGCTCAAGAGGGCGACCCGACGACCCCAAGACGGCTCCGAGCCGCTCCAGAGGCCACCCCGACGGCCCCAGGGGCACTCCGAGCTGCTCAAGAGGCCGCTCCGACGGCCCCAAGGACCCTCAGGGCAGGCCAGGCGCCTCCAAAGACGGCCCTTGAAGATTCCCCAGGACAGGCCTGAGATACAAAAATCGTCCCATTCCCGACGGAAAATTATTGTTTTTGGCATTCCCGTGCTTTTGGTCTCTGACGCGTCCACGACGGCCACAGAGCCCCCAAAGATCGGCCCTAGATGCCCCCATCAGGCCCACGATGGCCCAAGAGGCGCCCAAGACGGCCCCAGAAGCACTCAAGACAGCTCCCAAAACGGCCCCAGGCAGCATAAGACGGCCCGAAGACGGCCCAATAGGCGCTCAAGCCAGCCCACGACGGCCCCAAGACGGCCTCGAAGGTACCCAAGACAGCCCCAAGAGCCGCCCAAGACTGTCCACGACGGCCCTCAGACGGTCCAAGAGGCGCTCAAGACGAGGCCCCCAGATGCCCCCTCGAAGCCGAAAAGAAGCCCCAAGAGGCCCCTACACGGCCCCCAAGAGGCCCCGCTGCTGAAAGGGCTGACCGCCATGTGGATGGCCTTTCAGCAGCATTCCCGCCGCTCCCCCGAGACTACTCTCGGCCAGATGTCGTGGACGGAGTCCACGGGGCAGCCCTCGTCAGCTACAACGCTGGGATCAGCGCCTGCGAGAGAGGCGGGCAGTGGCGGTGGGCCCTGGCGCTGCTCGGCGGCATGCGCGCGGTGAAGCTGGAGCTCGACGCCACCTCTCCCGCAGTGCTTGTGCCACCGCGTGCCGGAGGGGCGCCGGGGCGAAGTGGGTCGAGCGCGACGCACCCCTGGGCGGCGCGCCCCAGACGGACCGGTGGGGCCTTCTGAGGGCCTCAGGGTTCTTTCTCGTCGGACAGCGCCAGCGACGAGCCAAGCAGCCCAAGAGATCCCTGCAGGAGGCGCCGGCGACCGACAGACAGGCTCTCGAGGCGGCCCCAGACGCCGCAAGGCGCCCCGAGGTGGCGCCAAGTTGGCCCCACGAGGCTCCAAGATGGCTCAATCCTCATGGTACACGTGTATTTCTGGCGCTCCCAATTTTTCCGCCCCGTCTGGCCCCAAGGAGGGCGCCAGACGCTTCCAAGACGGCCGCCAACAAGAGCTCCCGAGCCTCCAGGATGGCCCCGAGGCAGCTCAGGGCAGCTCCAAGAGTGTCCGAGACCGCCCCAAGATGGCCCAAATACCCCTCCAGACGGCCGCCAGACCTCGCAGAAAGGGCCCCGGGAGGCCCAGAAGGAGCTTCAAGATGGCCAGGGCAGGCGCGAGGAGAGCCCAAGAAGGGTCCAACACAGCTCCGACAGGCTTGAAGAGGGTTCCACGACGGCCTTCAGCATCCTGGCCCCACGGCTGCCAGACCCCACGCTCCTTCACCCCGGGCTGCCCGCTCCTCCACCTGGCCGAGACGGGCCTGCTCGTTCCTCTCCAGGGCTGCCCAAGACGGACGGGCCCGCGCGCTCCTCCACCCAGGGCTGCCTGGGACGGGCCCGCTGGTTGCTCCACTATGCTTAAGTCGGGCGTGTCCCCCTACAGGGGGATTTTCGACGAAAAATAAAAGATACCCCAAGAATGCCCCGAAAAGGTAACAGAAATACTCCAAAAATGGGCCGGCCCTAGACTATTTTTTGACTATTTTTTGATTATTCCCTACCTAGGCTCTGCCTAGAAGGGTTCTTACTCTCTTAGCTTAAAGGGGCTGGGCAGTGCAAAGCGCCCCGGGCGGTTCCCCCAGTCCCCGCCCCGCGGTTCCCCCCAGTCCCCTGGGAGCTTTAGCTTTAGCTTTAGCTTTAGCTTTAGCTTTAGCTTTAGCTTTAGCTTAGCTTTAACTTAGCTTTAGCTTAGCGTTTCGCTTAGCTTTTCGCTTAGCGTTTAGCTTAGCTTTAGCTTAGCTTTAGCTTAGCTTTAGCTTAGCTTGAGCTTAGCTTGAGCTTAGCTTGAGCTTAGCTTGAGCTTAGCTGTAGCTCAGCTTTAGCTTAGCTTTAGCTTAGCTTTAGCTTAGCTTTAGCTTAGCTGTTGCTCAGCTTTAGCTTAGATTTAGCTTAGATTTAGCTTAGCTTTAGCTTAGCTTTAGCTTAGATTTAGCTTAGCTTTAGCTTAGCTTTAGCCTAGCTTAGCTTTAGCTTAGCTGTGGCTTAGCTTTAGCTTAGCTTTAGCTTAGCTTTAGCTTAGCGTTACTGTTACTACTAATGCTGCTTTCCTAGGGGTTCCAACTCCTAGGTAGGGTCGCACTGGGATAATTTTCGGGGTATTTCTATTTTTTCGTCGACTTGACACTGTGCATGCCCCCAGGGCCGCCCACGACGGGCCAGCTCGTTCCCCCACCCAGGGTCGCCGCACTGCCCGGCAGCGCGCTGCAGCTCGCAGCGGCGCGCGGCAGTGCCCTGCAGCGCGAGGCGGCCACCCGCACCGGGCATGAACAGCAAGTCGCAGGCCCAGAGGTTGACACCAACACCAATTTCGTCGGTGTGCATCCACCGGGGGAAGAAGATCCCGATCCCGGTGATGGTGGTAATATTCTGGCTTCCAAGGTGGCCCAAATATTACCACCAACACCGAAATCTAGGATCATCTTCCCCTTGTGGAGGAAACCCCCTGTGTTGGTGTTGGTGCCCATTTCCAGGCCTCCAGGCAGGCGCAGTCCTGGCCGACTGCGAGCAGCACGAGCAGGCAGCATTAGTCATCAGCAGCAGGCCGCACTATAGCAAGCCTCACGCAGCAACAGCCAGCCAGCATCAGCACCGTGCATCATCAGAAAATGCGGCGGCGGCGGCAGGGATTGGTTGGCAGCAGCGCGCAGCGAAGCGGCGTGCTGCCGCACGCAGCAGCGGTCCAGAAGCATCAGCCAGCATCAAGCAGCAGCACGCCGCAGCGCCGAGCCGCGGCGAGCGCAGCACGCACCAGCCAATCCCAGGCAGTCGCGGCAAGACACATCAAAGGGCAGCGAGTGGCAGCTCCCGTCAGATCAGGCCGCCAGCCGTGGATTTCGCCCACGGGTCCAGCCCAGCCGAGCCGTCCTTTTTGCAATGCTGGGGCGAGCGCGTGCGAGGAGGGCCTGTGTAACGAGCGGCCCACGGCGGCTTCGAGCCGCTCACGACGGCGCCCGGAAGGCCTCGGCACGGCCCCAGACGCTCAAGGATGGCGCCACCCACGGACCCGAGACGGCTCGGAGACGCTCCGGAGGCCGCCCCGACGGCTCCCGAGGACCTGCAGAGAGCCCTCGGGCGGCCCGAGAGGGCCCGGAAACGGGCCCAGTGGCCTCCCAGACGGCCCAGGAGAGCCTCACTGACGGCCCCCTTCGATCAAAACCACAGATTCCACAGGCTTACGCCACATCCGCCGACCCCTTCTGTGACTGTTGCGAGGCCAGGAGTTTCTGACCAGCGGCGTCTTGTGTGAGGGTGCGGTGTCGCGCGCGGGTGGTGGCAGATACGTAGGGGGTCCAAATGTTTGCGTGATGCCGGTGGTCTGGGGCGTGTTTTGCGAGCGCCTTGCGTGTTGTGCACCCGGGTGCGGGGTGTCCTTCTGGGAGGCCGGCTTTTCGACCCGCAACCAAGTGGAGGACCACCGGAAAACGAAAGGAGCAAGAGTAGCGTGCGGAAGCTGTGATCAGCGAAGCATCACCGCGAAAGATGTGGCAGATGAGTCGAAACGGGTGAAGAGGCTGTTGGCGTTCGCAGCGCGCTCGAAACAGTTCGCGTGGCAGCAGCGCATTAGCGCCGAGCAAGATTGTGAGCACGTCGCGAGGAAGAGTAAGGCTGCATGCGCGGAGTGCATTGCAGTTGGCTTGACGGCTCGCAGTGCGGAAGCGTCTGGGGGTCTTTTGGAGGCCTCCTGGGGGCCTCTTGGGGGCTCCTTGGGGCGTCTTGGCGGCCTCTTGGGGGCCTCTGGCGGCCTCTTGGGGCACTCTTGGGGCCCCCTGGGGCTCGTGGGGGCGGAAAGCTAGATTTTTGAATTTTTGGTTGCCCTCTTGGGCCCCTCTTGGTGCCGTCTTGGAGCCTTCTTGGGCCGTCTTGGGGACCTCTTGGGCCGTCTTGGGGCCATCTTGGGCCGTCGTCGGGCCGTCTTGGGGGCCTCTTGGGCCGTCTTGGGGCGGTATTCGGGGCCTCTTGGGCCGCCTTGGAGCGTCGGAAAACCCACGAGGCGAATTTGCGAAAACTATACGTTTTATTAAGGAAATGAAGAATTTTCTGCGTCTGGGGACCCTCTTGGGGCGCATCTTGGAGGCCCCTTGGGGGCGTCTTGGGCCAGCTGGAGGCCATCTCGGGTGTCTTCGATCGCTCTTGGACCGTGTGGGACCATGTTGAGCTCTCTGGGAAGCCACTTGGAGCGCTCCTGGAGCGCTCTTGGGGCCGTCTTCGGGGCTCTCTTGGGCCGTCTTCGACGCCTCTTGAGCCGTCTTGGCGCCCTCTTGGGCTGTCTTGGGGCCCTCTTGGAGGCTTCTTGGACCGTCTTGGTGCGGTCTTGGGGGCCTCTTGGACCGTCTGGGAGCGTCAGAAAGCCCACAAGGCGAATTTGTGAAACATATACGTTTTACGAAAAGAACGGGCCAACTTCTTGCGTCTAGAAGCCCTCTTGGGGCGCATCTTGGATGCCTCTTGGGGCCTCTTGGGGGCATCTTGGGCCGTCTGGAGGCTGTCTTCGGTGTCTTTGATCGCTCTTGGACCGTTTGGGACCATATTGAGCTCTCTTGGAGGCCACTCGGAGCGTTCCTGGACCGCTCTTGGGGCCGTTTCCGGGGCCCTCTTGGGCCGTCTTGGACGCCTGTTGGCCCGTCTTGGGGCCCTCTGGGGCTATTTTGGGGCCCTCTTGGAGGCTTCTTGGGCCGTCTTGGGGGCCTCTTGGGCCGTCTGGGAGCATCGGACAACCCAGAAGGCGAACTTGTGAAAAATGTACGTTTAACGGAGGGAATGGGCAATTTTTTGCGTCTAGGGACCCTCTTGAGACGCATCTTGGAGGCCTCTTGGGGCCTCGTGGGGACCTCCTGTGCCGTCTAGGAGGCCTCGTAGCCCGTCTTTGGGCCACCTTGGGCGTCTTGGAGCGCTCGTTTGGCGTCCCGGGGCCATTTCGAGGCCACCGGAGGAGTCCTTGCAGGATTTTCGGGGGCGGATGACCCCCCCGGGGGAACCGGGGAATTTGGCCGGACCCCCCCGGGGGAATCGGGGGATTTGGCCGGACCCCCCCCCTTCCCTCCAAATCGACCAGACCGGGCTCCCAGGGGAGGGGTTTGGGGAGGGGGAAAATCTCACACGCCGATGAACCCCAAGGGGTCGACGGATTTCTGATAAGGGTTTGAAGGATTTCCACGCCCTCGCCGCGTTGGGCCAGGAACGGCTGGCCCCAGACGGCCTCAGGACCCGGTCAGGTCGCTCCACGACGGCCCAACAGGACCCCAAGGCGGCGCAGGACGGCGCAAGGCTCCATTGGCGCCCAGGAGGTGCCCCAGACGGCCCCACGAGCGACGGCGGCGGCTCCATCGGCGCCCGGGAGGTGCCCCAGACGGCCCCAAGAGCGACCCCAGACAGCCCAGGACCGCCCCAAGACGACCCAAAAGAGCGACCCGAGACGGCCCCAAACGGCCCCAAGGCGGCCCAAGAGGCAGCCAAGGCGGCCCCAGACGGCACCAAGACGGCCTCAGAGGAAGTCGCCCCGAAAGGGCCCCAACAAATTTGCAGGAGGTTGAGAAGAAGTCTCGAGAGGCCCCAAACGGCCCCCTGGAGGCCCTCAGTGGCTTCAAGATTTCTTCGAACAGAAGGTAGCGGACGAGAGGCGAGAAGAGGGTCGCAGGCCCGACAGAGCCGTTTTGGACAGTCCGATCGAGCGACAGAGGAGGAGGATGAGGAGGAGGAGGAGGAGGACGAGGAGGAGGAGGATCCAGCAGCAGCGGCAAGCATCAAGCGGCAAGCAGCAAGCAGCAAGCAGCAAGCAGCAAGCGGCAAGCAGCAAGCGGCAAGCAGCAAGCAGCAAGCAGCAAGCGGCAAGCAGCAAGCGGCAAGCAGCAAGCAGCATCAGCAGCAGCAAGCAGCAGCAAAGCAGCATCAGCAAAGCATCAGCGTAGTCCGCGGGTTAGGTACTGCAATTCTGGTCGTCGCGTGTGCGAGTCGCGCCAGCAGTGCGCCAGCTGCCCCCCCGACCACCTGGAGCCCCTCGCAGCTCTCCCGACGGCTCCCGCGAGCCCCCCGGTGGCTTCAGCGCGGCCTCGGGCAGCCCGAAGCTCGCTCCGAGACGCTCCAGAGGGCGCGATGATGCCCCGGGAGAACCCGCGCGGAGCTCCTTGACAGCCCAGCGCGGCCCGACGACGGGCCAGGTGCCTCCGAAGACGGCCCAGCCGGATCCCAATCACGGTGCCCCGAGGCCAAGACCATGGATCTCTTGGGCTTGCCTGCGGATGTCCCATGTTCTCCCCGTTCTGAGCCACAGATGCTCGGGTTTTTTGCTGCAGATTGCCCCTCCTCCTCCTGCTCCTCCTCCTCCTCCTCCTCCTCCTCCTCCTCCTCCTCCTCCTCCTCCTCCTCCTCCTCTCCCTGCTCTGATTTTTTGGGGGCTTTTGCGGAGTTCCCAGGTTCTCCCCGTTCTGGCCCCGAGGCAGCCCCTGACGGCGCTCCGAACGGCCCCAGACGGCTCGAGGGCCATCCCAGATCGCCCCAGGACGGTCCCCGGCCCTGCCGGACCCCGACGACCGCCCCCCGAGGCTAAGACACGGATTCTCGCAGTTTCCGTTTCGCTTTGCAGACTTCCCATGTTCTCCCCATTCTGGCTTTAAAGCAGCCCCAGACCCAGAGATCCAACGTATTGAAAAAATCAAGACGGAGGTTTTTCACAATTTTCGGCCTCAAGGGGCCCTCGCCAGGCCCCGGGACCGTCAAAAAACGGCTCATGATGAAAAACCGGTCCCGGGGAACGGGTCGAGATCTCCGGGGGCCCCGTATTGAAAAATTGACGACGTCGGATCTCTGGGGACGGCGCTTAGAACGGCCACAGGTGGCTCCAGTGCCATCCCAGATCGCCTCAAGACGGCCCCCGGCCCAGCGGGCCCCCGATGACTGTCCCCCGAGGCAACAACCACAGATTTTCGCTGTTTTTCTTTCGTTCTGCAGATTTCCCATGCTCTCCCCGGTCCGGCTTTGAAACGGCCCCAGACGGCGCCCAGAGCGGCCTCAGACGTCTCGAGGGCCGCGCCGAGGATTGCTTGATTGCTTGATTTCATTTGGGGGGAGAAAATCCCAGATGGCGTCAAGCCCCCTGGACGGTCCCAGCGAGCCTCCAAGTGGCCTCGGCCGGCTGGCCCAAGGACGGCCTCCCGCACGGCCCCACGACTGCCCCAGAGAGGCCCCGGGCAGCCACACGAAACCCCCCCGGTGGCCCGGAGGAGTCCCAGGAGCCGCCCAGGAGGCCCCCAAGAGAGCTCCAGCAAACGATACCCCGATCATGGCCCCAGCACCGCCCCAGAGGCTCCCCAGACGGCCCAAGAGAGCCCCTGAATGACCCCTGAGGGCCCCTAGAAGCTCCGGGAAGAACCCACAGGAGAGCTCCAACGGAGCCCAGACGACCGCTTTCCCACAGCCCCCAAGGAGCTCCCCGAATGGCTTCAGAGCGCCCGAAGCCAATCCCAAAGAGCCCCAAGTTTTCTCCCAGAAGGCACCACGAGTCCCCACAGAGCCCTTCAGGGCCCCAAGGCTGCCCCAGGACGGCCCCACTGCGATTCTACGCTTAGCTTCCTGGGCCAGCCTGGGACCACAGAAGAGGCTCTGGGGGACAGCCTGGGGACGACCCCAGGGGCGCCCAAAGTACCGCAAGAGGCTTCTAAGACGCCCCAGACAGGCTCGCAGGAGGACCCCTCATGCTCTGGACGCGGCCCCACAGACACCCGAGCTGTTCAACTTCGACGAGCTGTTCACCCGCGGTGTGCGAGCCCTGGGCTCAGCACACCGCGGATTTTATCCATGGGCTCACACAGTTCAGCTACAACGCCGGGATCAGCGCGTGCGAGAAGGGACAGCAGTGGCAGCGGGCGCTGGCACTGCTGAGGGAGATGCGGGAGGCGAAGGTGGAGCCCAACGTCATCTGTACTACAGTTCTGGCCGCTGAGCGTGCGAAAGGGGCGAACAGTTTGCGCCCCTAGGTGGCCCCAGGGCGGCGCCTCTGACAGCCCCAGGACAGCTCCGAGACGCCCCGGAGCGCGCGAGGTCGGCCCAAGAGAACCCGAACGGAGCCCCATGACGGCCCAAGACGGCCCGACGACGGGCCATGTGCCTCCCCAAACGGCCCAGCCGAACCCCGATGACGGTCTCCCGAGGCCAAATCATAGATTTTCCCTGGGCGTCAGCAGGCTTTCCATGTTCTCGCCATGTCGGGCCAAGAACGGCCTCAGACGGCTCCAGGGCCATCCCAGATCGCCCCAGGACGGTCCAGGAGGCCCCGCCAAGTGCCCCAAGACGGCCCCAGAGGGCTCGAAGACTGCCCGAGAGAAGCCCTAAGACAGCCTCATGAAGCTCCCGGTGGCCCCCCCAGACATCCCCAGGAGGGCCCCCAGGAGCTGCCCGACAGGTCCCAAGGCGGGCGCCAAGACGGACCGAGACCGCCAACATCGCCCCAGGACAGCCCCAGAGGCCTCCGAGACGGTTCAGGAGATCCCCTAAAGGGTCCCAGGAGGCCTCAAGAGCTGCCGAAGCGGACTCCCGAGCGGCCCGAACCATCCAACACAGCGCCCGGCGTCCCAAGATTCCCAACATCAACAGCCCCCCAGATGGCCCCAGGACGTCCCTCCAAGCTCCCATGACGGCCCAAGAGCGCTCCCAAATGGCCCCAGAAAAGCTCCAGAGAGACCCCCAAGAGTCCTCCAACAGGGTCTGCCGAAGATGGTCCAGACGATGGGCCGCCTCCCTTGGCTCCCACTGGGCCAATAACCTTCCCAGGCCCACTTCTTTCCAAGACCACTCCCATGCCCCAGAGTCTCCCAATAGACTCCGACACTCGCCAAAGAGCTTGAAGCAGAACGCCCGCAGCCACGGCACCCTTTCGCCGTCCTTGGAACCTCAGAAGCCTCATAGAAAGCCGCGGACCCCGATCGAAGCCCCACACCACTCCGAGGCGCCCCATACCTTCCCAAGATACTCTGATAATTTCGACGGAGCTCCCAAGAGAGCCTTCCGCCGTTGTGCCTCCCAGCAGCCTTCAACAAAGCCTCTTACCCATAATAAGGCCCAACGAGCCTTCTCTCACCGTTTTGCTCGCTTCTCTCACTCCTCCCCCTCCTCCTCCTCCTCCTCCTCCTCCTCCTCCTCCTCCTCCTCCTCCTCCTCCTCCTCCTCCTCCTGGTCCTTCTCCTTGGCTCCCCTTCCTCGAAGCTCCAGCCACCCTGGGGTCCCACAACCGATTCCGGGTGGCAAAGGGGACATGTAGACATCTCGGAGCACCTGTAGTAGCACCTGCACCCACTGCTGTCTCCGAAGGCCTCCACAAGAATCCGAAGACCGCCCTCGCTCCAGAGCCACTCTCTTCCTCCTCGACCTCCTGCTCGCTCTCATGCGCCTCACTCCCTCCTCCTCTGCCCACCGCACACCCGAGCACATTTTGCTCCCCCCCCCAGCGATTAGGGGCCACAAGGGGGATCCTCCCTTGGCTCGACCATGGCTCCGTCGTCTGTGTGCGAGCCTGCGCCTGCACCTCGCTCTCTCTCTGGACTGCTCTCTTCCTCCCACGCCTCCCCTTCCGATCGGGGGTGACACTGGGGGGACCTTCCCACATCTCCTGTCTTCTCTGCCTCGGCTTCCTCCTCCTCTGCCTCCTCCTGCAAGAGGCTGCGGCGAGACTGGACTGCGAGAAGCCCTCGAGAGCCCTCCAGGGACCGCTCCGAGGCAGCCCAGACCCTCCCGAGACGCTAGACGACAGCCACCAGCCCCGGAGCCCCGAAGCCTGCAGCAACCCCCCGCGCAAGCCTGCCGGCGTCGGAGACACATGAGCCTTCGGGACAGACGTCTTGACCCGCCAGCCATGGATCTTCGACGGGTTCACACTAGTCAGTTACAGCACGGGGATCAGCGCGTGCGAGAAAGGCAAGCAGTGGCAGCGAGCTCTGGCATTACTGAGAGACATGTGGGAGGCGAAGTTGGAGCCCAACGCCGTTAGCTACAACGCTGGGATTAGCGCATGCGAGAAGGGCAAGCAATGGCAGCTGTCGTTGGCGCTGCTTAGCGGGATGCGGAAGGAGAAGTTGAAGCCAAACGTCATCAGCTACAGTGCTGGGATTAGCGCATGCGAGAAGGCCATGCAGTGGCAGCAGGCTCTGGCGCTGCTCAGCAGGATACGGAAGGAGAAGTTGGAGCCGAATGCCATCAGTTGCAGTGCTGGAGTCAGCGCGTGCGAGAAATGCGGGCAGTGGCAGCGGGCAGTTTCGTTGACCAGCGAGATGCTGGAAGCGAAATTGGAGCAGAGTATGATCAGCTGCAGTGCTGGGATCAGCGCGTGCGACAAAGGCGGACAGTGGCAGCGAGCGCTGTCATTGCTCAGCAAGGTGCACAGGGTGACGTTGGAACCCGACGTCGTCAGCTACAGCGCTGGGGTCAGCGCGTGCGAGAGTGGTGGACAGTGGCAGCAGGCGTTGTCATTGCTTGGCGAGTTCTCGAAGATTCGGTTGGATCCAGAGGCAATCGCTTACAGTGGCTCGATCTGCATGTATGAGCACGGCGCCGAGCGGCGGCATGGGGTGTCGTCGTTCAGAGCGTTGCGTTGGGCGAAACCGAGAGCTGTCCCCTGACACCAGTCGGCTAGAGCGTTCGGGCACGCGCGTGTGATAGAGGCGACCAGCGGCAGCATGCACTGGCGTTGCCCACCGAGATGGTGAAGGTGAAGTTGGAGCCCTGTTTCGCTGGGGTCAGCGCGTGCAGGAGAAGCTGGCGATGGCGCTGCTCTGCGATATATGCGGCATGTGAGCCTGCAGCCCAAGACCATCCGCTAGAACGTTGCGACCACCGCTCTGTCACGTAGAAGCGACATCGCAGACGCTGGGAGGCGAGATCCTGGCATTTGACCACCCCGACGCAGGCTGGATGGCGAGGTTCGAAGAGTGTGCGTCGGCCGGCCGACACGTGGTGGCGAGCCAGCACCACAGCCTGCTGGAGGGATGCCCTGGGCATGCCCTGGCATTTCTCCCTTCCCCCTTTGCATTCATTTCCTCATCATGCTTACGCCATTCCGCCGACCCCCCAAAAAGAGGGATGAAGTCCACGGGTGAAGTGATTTGGGGCTGCTTGGGGACTCTCTGGGGGCCTCTCTTGGGCCTCTTGGGAGTTTCTTGGGCGCCTGCTGGTGGTCTCGGGGGTCCTCGTTGGGCAGAGGGCTCGGAATGTCAGTTCGAGTCGCCTCTCTTGGGCCCCTCTTGGGGCCCTGGTGCCCTTTCCTTCTATCTTGTGCTATTCTGTCATCCTGGCGCCTCGACGGAAATCACCTTCAGTCGAGGATCTGCGCGGCAGTGTGCATCAGACGAGCGGCACCCACCGTTCGTCTTGGGAGCAGTTCGCCCTCAGGTCGCATTTGCCAGACCTGATGTCGTCATCTAGAGGCTGCGCGAAGCGGGCTTTGGCAGGAAAACATGTATGTATCCCTTCTCCTCCCCTCCAGCCGACCTCCCCCGTTCCCTCCCTCCTTCGCTCCTTGCCTGCCCCCCTTTCCCTTGCAGCGGCGGTGGGCTCCGGCGCTGCTCAGGAGAGCGGTGCAAGACGTAGCGGAATCCCAGGCTCACCTGTGGCAGCTCCTGATGTGCTATTTCTCGATCGCGGTCCACTTTGACGTTTCATCTCGCACTGTGTATACTGCCAGAACTCTGTGCAATGCAAAAGCATGTCCCCAGTAGTTCGCTTCATTGAGGCGCGACTTATGTCCGCCCCCTCCTGTAACAGTTCGGTTGTTTCACTAAGCGGTTGCCTAGCTGTATTCAATGGAACGCCCCTGAGGGGGCAGACCCCGCCGCCCCCACCATTTTTGGATTCTGGAGATTGTGGGAGCGGGCGGCCGCTGCGCGCGCGAAGAGGAGGTGTTCTGGTGCTGGTGCTGGTGCTTCCGCTTGGAGGCCTCGTGGGGCTCTGTGGAGAGGACATTTGGGCTCCTCAGCGAGCTCTCTGTCGCATGACCCTGAGCCCAGGACGGCCGCAGAGCTCTGTGTCTTATGACCCTGAGGCCAGGACGGCCGCAGAGAGGCTGGAGGAACTGAACAAAAACCGTCGGGCTCGTCCCAGAAAGCGCGCCGAGGAGTGTCTTTCGCATCCCTGAGGCTAGGACGGCTGCAGAGAGGCTGGAGAAGCTAAACAAACCGTCGGGTTCGTTCCAGGGGGACCTCTGGAGGGGCCCAAAACGGAGCTGGAATGGGTCAAATGTGGCGACTTGGTGTGAACGATGAAAACAGGATGGGGAAAAAAACAGTCCGGGTTTGTTTGCGGCTCCTGGAAGAGCCCCTGGAGGCTCCGAGGGGGTGCCCCAGATGGGCGAGATACGATGTCACGAAGGCGGCGAGACGGCTCAGAACGGTCGTGGAGAGCACGCCAGGGGTTCTAGGATGGCCGCAAGAGCCAGCGGGGATGCGCTGGATCTCCGAGAGGCGCAGGGAGAAATACGAGAATGCCAGAATCGTTAAAATCCTATGTGTTTTACCACATGTTTTGCTTTTTGGGGCTGGTTGTGTTCAATCGTTTCGCTCATTCCGCCGGCCCATACAGCCTCGTCTCTGCCGTTTGGCTGAGGGATCTCTGTCAACGCGGCGCTGCTGGGGTTTCATGGGGTTTCTTGCCAGGCGGCTCGGGGACTTCTTGGAGGCAGAGGAGGATGTCCGAGGACTGCAGTCTGAGAGTGAGGTGCAGCGTAGAGGGGGAGGGGGTGACAGAGGAGGTGGCGGGGATGGCTGGGGGAAGGGGAAGGAATGGTAACCGAGGGGGATGAGTGAGGGATAAGGGAAGGCGAGGGCCAGGGTCTGGGGAGCAGGGCGCTCGGGGCAGCCATTCTTTGACAGGCGGTATGCCCTCAGAGACTGAGGGCCCGCGGAGATATACTTAGGAGGCTTGTGTCGCAAGGACGGTCAAGAGGTGCGGCCCAGACAGGGGAAAATCACCCGGGGCAGGAACGGCAACGATGACATGGAGGAGTGATGTGCAAACGAGTCGCGAAAGATGGAGTGAATTTCGGAATGGAGGGGGAGGAGCAGGAGGAGGAGGAGGAGGAGGAGGAGGAGGAGGAGGAGGAGGAGGAGGAGGAGGAGGAGGAGCCTTGTGAAGGCTCCCTGGGGGCCGCTGAGGGCCTCTTGGGGGCTTCTTGGGGCCTCTTGGGGGTCTCTTGGGGCTTCCTGTGAGCCTCTCTGCAGGGCGAAGGCTTGAAATATCGTTTCGTGTTTCCCCTCTGGACCCTCTCTTGGGGCGCCTGTGGGACTCTGCAAGGCTGCCTTGACGCCCTCGAGGGCCGTCTGGGAGCCCGCTTGGGGGCCTATTGGCCTGTCTTGGGGCGATCTTGGAGGTCTCCGAGGCCGTCTTGAAGCGTCGGAAAGTCGAAAAGGCGAGAAAACCAAAATCGATCAAAAACCAAAGGGAACTCAATGAATTTGGTCTTTGGGGGCTCTCTGATGAGAGCTCTTGGAGGGCTGTTGGGCCGTCTGGAGGCCATCTTGCGCGCCTTGGAGCGATCGTATGGTGTCCCGGAAGTTTCCTGGACCATCTTGGGGGCCTCTTGGGGCCCCTTGGGGCCTCCTGGGGGCTTCTTAGGGTCGATGACTCGAAATGTCCGTTCGGCTCCCCAGTCTGGGCTCCCTCTTGGAGCCGTTATCGGAACCTCTTTGGTCGTTTTCGGAGGCCTCTTGAGCCATCTTGGGCTCTCTTGGGCCATTTTGGGGCCCTCCAGGATGCCTCTTGGGCTGCTTGGGCGATCTAGGAGGCCTTGTAGGCCGTCCTTGAGCGTCGGGAAGCCGCAAAGGCGAGAATGCCAAACTCTTACAAAAAAACAAAGGGAAAACTATGCCTTGTGCCTTTGGGGGGGCCCTCTGGGGAGTGCTCTTGGAGAGCCATTGAGCCGTCTGGGGGCCGTCTTGGGCGTCTTGGAGCGATCTTGTGGTGTCCCGGACGCCTGTTGGACCATCTTGGGGGCCTCTTTGGGGGCCTCTCTTGGCCCTTCTTGGGGCTTCATGGTGGTTTTATGGTGGTTTCCGAGGGCGGCGCCCCGGAGAAGAGCCAGCTTGAACCGACCCTGCCAGTTACTTTCCGGCCGGGGGCCCCAGGGGCGGCCCCACGCGCACGAACTAGAACACTCTAAACCAGTCACTGGAGATCTTATCGCGCCTCTGGCCCGCTGGGCTGGCGAATTACTGAAGCCACCTCGTACCGGGTCGTCGCCATACTGCTGTAGCTGTGGACCGCAGCGCGCGGAGCATAGTAGCGCAGTGTACACTGTAGAGCTCGCAATGCACGTTGCGCGCATTACACGGTTCACGCCGTTGCAGCGAACGGTTCCCAGCGCAGGTTTGGCATTTGGATTGTGGTGGGTCTGCGAACCTCTCGGCGCAGTTGTAGTTGTACCACGCTGTCTTGTCACAACAGCTCCATGGCATGCAGCGCGCTAGTCCTGCACGGACTCACTGCGTCACGAGAACGCCGAAAGGCGGAACCGCACCAGCCGGGGACCGCACGGCCTCCCCGCTCTTGCCGTGGGGTCTGGCGAGCGGGCGCAGGTGGGAGGCTCGGGCCCCAGAGCCTCCCCCTCCGCCCCGCGAGATTTCTCGGGAAGGGGGCCTGCACGGCTGTGCCGCGACCAGGACCCCACAGGCTGAAGAGCAGAACAATCGCATAGCACATACGTTCTTGCCCCCTTGCGCTCGAAGCGCGCCAGGGGAGGCGCTGGAGGCGCCGCCTTCGGGGGAGGGGTGGGCACGCGCCGAACCGAGAGATCTGTTCCTGGATGTTCAAGCGGTTTGTGCGTTGTGAAGGTTGGTTTGTTTCTGCTTCTGTTGCTTGTCCTTTTTCCATAGCGGCGCCTTGGGCGCCGTTCTCAGCGACAGCATCGTCCTGGTCCTCGTCCTCGTCCTCGTCCTCGTCCTCCTCGTCGTCGTCGTCGTCGTCGTCGTCATCGTCGTCGTCGTTGACGTCGGCGTCATCCTCGTCATCGTGGTGGTGGTGGTCGTCGTCGCCGTCGGTGTCGGCGTGGGCGGCAGCGTCGTCGTCGTCGTCGTCGGCGTCGGCGTCGGCGTCGGCGCCGTGTTCGTCGTGGCCGCTGGCTTCGGCGGCGGCGTCGTCGTCGTCGTCGGCGCCGTCGGCGTCCGCGCCGCCCCCCGGGACCCCCCCCAAAGGCCCTCGGCACGGGCAAGGCCGCCAGGGCAGCCAGGCGCCGGGGTCCCGTGCTTTGCCACGGCGGCCGCCGCGGCCACCGCAGTCGTCGTCCCGGTGGTCGGGCTCGCTGGCGTCGTGGCGGGGGTGGTCGGTCTCGCTGGCGTCGTAACCGCTGGCTTCGGCGGCGGCGGCGGCGTCGTCGTCGCCGTCGTCGTCGTCGACGTCGTCGTCCGTTTTGGCTCAGGAGCTCCGGGTCTGGGCGAGGACCCGGGAGGAGGGTCTCTCTGGCACGCCAGTCTTCGTTCTGCCCTCTCCAGGCCTCCAGTTCAGTGTGCATTCTGCCCGCACTTTGTCACTCCGTTCCTTCAGTCTCATGGCAGCAGCTGCCAGGAGCCGCTACTCCCGAACATCACGCTATGGATATCGGGTGATGCGGTGTTTCTGCGCACGATGACAGTGACCTGCAGCCACAGCGAACGCAGCGTCGGGCAGCTAAAATCCCAGAACATGGCCCAGCAGCCAACGCAGCCACTCGTGCGGCCGCGAACGGGCTTGTGCCAGGAGGGAGGAGGCTGTTGGCAGCCTGCTGTGGCCCGGTGGACGACAAGATCGATGGTGCCGTGCGCGCCCTCGACGTCAAGGTCGGCGAGGCAGAGAAGAGGGTGACGAAGAGAGTGGGTACGGTCGAGAACACCGTGAATGCCCAGACCAGGAGGTTGGAGGATGTTGAGAAGCGCTTGCGGCATGTGGAAAAATGGTTCCATTGCGGGAGGTAGTGTGCGGGCAGCTACTGGCACTCGAGCATCGCATCGCGGCTGCCCGTTCCTTAACTCCGCCAGGCGAGAGGAGAGCCATCCGCGTAGGAGGCTTCAAGCATAACGAGCGATTGCAGGTGGAAGTCTTCGTCAAGGCCCAGTAGGACGCCAAAAGTCTTAGGTACGAACGAGCCTTTGCGGTCGGTAGCCATGCAGACCGCGTGGAGATCCTGTTCCGCAGTCCTGAAGGCCCGTGGGCAATGCTGAAGGTGGTCAAGGACACGGAGAAGCGGTCGGTGGAGTTGGCCGGCCCAGACCGTCGGAACCCAGATGTGTGGCGCGGCACTGGCAAGTATGATCAGGAGGCTGCGACGGGATATCAGCAACGCGCTGGGCGGGACATGATGATCGCCGGCGTCAAGCAGCTCAACCGTTTTGTGGACCCGCGGATCGGGATAGGGTTCGACCAGGACAGGACGACGATGCTCCTGAGTGTGGTCGGCAGTGCGAAGGCCAGTCTGGCGGACGCAGGTCTCAACATCGATCTCAAGGCAGGCTGGGGGCGATCAAAGGGGCTCGAGGAGCTCAGCGGTGGGCCTGGCAATATCTCCACGGGCGTTTGCGAGCGGGTGTTGAGAATTGCAGATTTGTGTCTGGCAAGATTCGCAGCTTTGCCCGACAACGCCCTGTTGGTTTGGCTGGCAGATCCTGTTGTGGCAGGAGCATTCGTACGTTGATCGGCTGGGCCTCCTCCCTCTGAGCCTTTTGGAGAACATCTCGTGCCCACTCCACTGGTGCGGCTAAGCTGTGGGGCACCGTGACTAAACGCGGCCCTGTGCGTCGGATATCCAGGGAGCCACGCGCAACGTTCAGCGCAGTGGGGGCTTGCGGTGGCGATGGAGACGTCCTGGGTTTGGCCCGGGCCGGGCGTGCCCACCCAGGCGCCGCCGCCGATCGGGTGGCTCACTCTCCGACGTTGGACGATTGGCACTTTGTTCAGGTCGGGCCTGTCCCTCTACAGGAGGAATGTCCAAGAGTAGGCCCAAAACAGTAGGGGGACGATTGTTGGACTCTTTTGGACTATTTCTGGATATGTGTTTGCCTATCTTAATTTTTTCCTCCAGGATCCGCCTGTAGGGGGACACGCCCGTCCTAAACGTTGGACGATTTGCACTTTGTCCGTCGGTGGGCCCCGAGTGGCGCCAACATCACCGTCGGCCTTGATGCAAACGCCAACCTCGCGGGCACCTGTGAGGCAAGACTACTCATCGGTCGTTGAAAGTAGGTATTTTTGGATTCCCAGATTCCAGTCTACTTTGAGCGCCTTCCTACTTCAAGAGTCGAGTGGGTTTCCCTCTTCCCTCCTCTTCAGGAGGCGGGCGGAAACCCAATCTATTTCCAACGCCTTCCTACTTCATGTTTCTACCTACTTCTTCCGACCGATGGGTACTCGTGGGCCCCCGTACTTCCTTCTCGTCTTCTCCGCCGCGCGCTCGTCACCTGCACCGCTGGAGAGCGAAGACCGCGTTCGAACTGATGGCAAGAGGGTCGCTGGAGGTTCGCCATATTCTTGGGGCCTGCCAGCGCGGCTCGGCCGCGTGTTACCCCGGCAGCGCCTGGAGGCCGCCGCAGTTTGATTTCTTCTTGACTAGGGAGCTGCCCGTCGCGAAGCTCACCTCCGACGTCCGTCCTTCGGAGGCCACGCACGCGTCGCGCGCAGTGCCTCCCCCCGGGGCTCCAGGAGAAGGCGGGTGGAGGTCAAGAGGAATCATGCCCAGACCAAGAGAACCTACGATATGGGCAGCCACGGCTTGGCTGAGTACGCGGCGAGGTTCTGGAGGGCACGGTCGCGTCCAATCACGGCGGGGGTGACCGGAGGGAGTATCCAGCGCGACCGTGGAGCTGGGAGCGGCCATCGCTTTTTGCATCGACCTGCTATCCCAGGCCGAGAAGCCCGAGGATCCGCAGGACGTGAGGCTTGGGTCGAGCATCCAGACTGCGCTTGCTTCTGGGTGCGTAATCGGAACCACCCTGGGAATGTTCGACCCTACTCATAGCTGCAGACACTGCCACCTACTTCAGCCGATTTGGAAGCGAGCCTGTGCGACGTGGGAAGACCTTCATTACAGAAGGGGGACAGCAAGTGATGTGCTCACGATTGCGTTGCCCGCCTGGCCGCGCAAGGCGCAGACCCGCGAATGACCGCCCATGCGCGTTCGATCGCCTCCCTTTCGGAATCCCGTCGAGGATCCACGAGCATCGATTTCGATACAGCTGCCGATTTTTGCCGGACAGTGGTGGGGGATCGCCGTTTTGCTGAGCGGAGAGGTTGAGGGCTTGAGATTGGGATAGAACAGGGCTAGGATCGGGATGAATAAATCGCTCCAGAGCGTTCCGGAGCGCTCTCAGAGCGTTCCGGAACGCTCTGGAGCGGCCGCGGCGCCCAATACATCCTCCAAACCCGCCGATTCTCAGAGATTTCGAGTTATCCCGATCCGATTTTGTCCCGATCTTCGCGTCGTTTTATGGGAAGGGGGCGGGGGGGCCCAAGCAGGGAGCCTGCAGCAACAAAAAGGAGGATCGCCATGCTGGCCCAGGACGAGGCAGCGTCCGACTAGAGGTCAGGCCCCCGAGGCCCGGGCTGGCTCGTCGAGGGTGCACTCTACCATCTCTGGATCGGTCCGTCCTCGTCCTCGGTTACTCGGTTACTCGAAAGGTGGTGTACCGTGCAAGCACAGTACACTCACGGATAAAATTTTACGTAGGTCTCCTCACCTCCCTGAGTTCACGGCCTCGGGGTGGGAGAGCTACGGAATTGGTAATGGGTAGGCCGGTTCCAGGCAGGATCCTCCGTTTGAGTTTCCTGCTCTCGGACGACGCCTTCCCGTCACATGGTCCACGTAGCTTTGGGCCCGCCTTGCTCGTGGTAATAGCACCACACTTCAAGCAATAAACAACAGGCAGCCCAGAGCTCTCGACCCAAGCCACGTGGAGGTTGTGGTGATTCCTGGGACCACTCAGAAAAGCAGCAAGGGACGGGTTCAGACCATTGCAGTCCCGACTTAAGATAACCTTGCGGCCCAGATATCTAAAACAGAGGTTGCATCTCCTCTTTCCTTCATGGAAAACTGGCTCGTGCGGGGTCCGTGGCTTGGGAGTGGCCTTGGGACCCAAACGCGCCCTCCCCAGCTCACCCAACTCCCCGAACGTGGGCCACTCCCCAAGCACTTTACCCATTCCGTGAATTAGGGTAGTGTACAGATTGGGAATGGTCGTGCACTCGTCGGAGACCCTATTGCTGAAAGCATGCGCGCGGGCTGCAAGCCCTGCGTGGTGGTCTGCTAGCTTGTTCCCTCGCACAAAGAAAACTTGGTCACTGGCAACTCCCTCCTCGGATCTATGGGCCTTGACCTTAGTGAGGCGGGGCGGGTCCCCAGGGAGCCATCGAGCCACTTCCCGCCAAACGTGGGCCATCGGGTTGGCCCCCGACAGGGCCCATTGGTGGGCCCTCACAGCTTTGAGGAGAGTCGCATAGTCAACAAAAATCTCGCCAGACTGGCACTGATCAGCTGAGTATGCAGTGGCGAGCATGATGGCACAGTGCTCAGCAGACCCACTGGTCTGCTCCATCGTGCCTGGGACAGGGGATCTTATGCCTCTGACCAGCTCGCCATCTTCGTTCGCTTGAATGACTGCACATCCAGCTCTGGAGCAGGGCTTGAGCTGGGGAAACAAGCACGAGCCATCAGTAAACAACAGTGCCCCAGGTGGGAATTCAAACGGCGCCGTCTCCACACCCCCAGGGCCAAAAAATTTTAAATCTTGCGTCCAGTCCTGGGCA